AATTTGTCTGTCTATTTATCAGTTTGTCTGTCTGTCTGTCTGTCTATCTAGTTTTCTCTCTGACTGTCTGTCTGTTTGTTTGTCTGTCTATCTGGCCATCTATTTGTCTGTCTGTCCATCCATCTGTCTGTCTACACATCTGCTGTCTGTCTCTCTGTCTGTCCATCTGTCTGCTGTCCCTGCGTCTGTCCCTCCATCTGTCTTTCTCCATCCATCTCTTAGTTCTTACTTAAATCTGTTCATTTGTCTTTCCGTCAGTTTGTTTGCCTATATCTCTGTCCGTCCATCTGTCTGCCATCCATTTGTCTGTCTGTCTGTCTGTCCATCTGTCCATCCATCTCTTTCTATCCGTCTGTCCATCTCTCTCTCTTTCTGTCTGTCTGTCTTTTCATGTGTCCCTCCCTCCATCTCTCTCCCTCTGTCTAATTCTTCCCTCTCTTCTGTCTGTCAGTTGTTCTCTTCAGATGTGATCAGGTCTTCAGACAGAAGTGTGTGTAGAGTTTGTCACACACACGTTCATCTCATTCAGAGAGTTTTGGTGAAGGGACGCCTGTATCACCGCTCCTGCTTCAGGTAAAACACACACACACACACACACACACACACACACACACACACACACACACACACACACACACACACACACAAATGCACACACACAGATTGATACACACACACACAAACACACACACAAACACACACACATCAATACAAACAGATTGATACACACACACAAATGCACACATACACAGATTGATGCACACACTGATACACACACAAACGCACACACAGATTGATACACACACAGATTGATACACACACTGATACACAAACAAACACGCACAGATTGATACACACTCTGATGTGCACACACACAGATTGATACACACACTAATACACACACAAACACACACACATAAGTTGATACACACAAACACACACACATCAATAAACACACAGATTGATACACACACACTGATACACACTGATACATACAGACTCGCATGAACACACATACTCGCATTAATGAACAAACACACACACAAACATGCAATCAACGAACACACAAACACACACTCACTCATGTAGACACAAATAGACACTCGCTTACTGACACACACACCAAATATAAAGCACTGAGTCACACACACACACACACGCATATAGACACAAACAGACACACACACACATCGACACTTACACTTGCACACACTCATGTAGAAACAAACACACACTCTACAGACATATTAACGTAGATGCACACTCACACACACTCTGCACACACATGCAGACACAGACATTCTCTCTCTCTCTCTCTCTCTCTCTCTCACACACACACACAGACGCAGTGAGTGTGTGCAGGGTGAAGTGTGTGTGTGTGAGAGAGAGAGAGAGAGAGAGAGAGAGAGTGTGTGTCTGTGTGTGTGCGAAGAGGGTGTATCTCATCTACCAAATACATGTATATCCAGGGTGGTTGTGTATATGGCTAATATGACAGACACACACACGCGGCACACAGACACAGAGGCACACACACACACTCACACATATATTTACACACACACACATTTATAACAGTTCNGTTTTAGCGAGCTGCATGCTAGCCATTTCGCTCCCTGTGTAGTGCACTCTGAAATCATTTACGGTGTTTAGAACACAGCCGTGGCTCATAACACACATTACAGGTAAACTATGAGTCCATATCCTACATCTCCAGAGCTCGTGAAAACAAAACAATGTAGGATGAGAAATGTCTAGCGGTTTTCCCATCATTACTCGAGCATATACCTGATTTACAGGCTCTCTGAGATCAGCCTGTTCACTAGAGGATGTGGAGTATTCTCCATCAGGATTGTGAAAGAAATATAGACACGGCATGTGTCCTTTACAGTAATAAGGGAAAAGACCAAACCTAATAAAACTAATATTGTGTTGAAAGCTGCTGTGTGTCAGTGTTGGACTCTTCTAGAGCATGAAAACAGCATCATGTGTGCAGATATTCAGAAACATGCGCAGTGAACATTCTGCTTTATATGAAGAACAACACTGAAGTCAGATATTCTGCTGTGAACATGTGTTACATGTCTTTGTTTTGGTCATTTAACCCGCCCAATGCCAGTCTAGCCAATTGTAATTCAGCACCTCGGGTTGGCAGATGGTGGAAAACAGCGTATTTCATTCATTCATTCAGGAAGACTCTGAAAGTGTGCATACGCAATCGAAATGTGCCCTCTGGTGGACAGTAGCAGACTCTGAAATGAGACGCAGATTCAGAGTTCCACATGAGGTTATTAATGAGCGAATAATATCAATATCACGAGTGTAAACATTAGGTAAGCAGGTCACATTGTAACCCGTTTCCTAACAACACACTACATGAGGAGATACGCAGTGATGAGCATTAGGGCTGATTGCAGCAGACAGAGATGTAAACACAGCCATTCAGAAGAGGAATAGTGGACTCACTGCACTCCAGCACAACGCTGAGCTTTAGAATCTAATGAACACATATTAAAGCTCTTTAACATGATTAAATGTAGATGCTGGATCACTGATATGTGTTGGTTTGCTGTTCTGAAGTTCAGTTTCAGACACTTTACTGTATTCTCCAGATCTGAGCTGAAATATCTGCTGCTGCTTTCAGTAGTATGGTGATAAATGTCCTCTCAGACTCACATTATTAGTGTTTAGCACTGAATAAAGCACATGAGCTGTACCTGAGCTGATCATTGTTCATCTGTGAGAAATAAATGCCATTTCTAATTTATCAATTTCAGGTGTCGGTTAGGACATACTCCTTTTCAATAGGAGAATATTCCTTCTATCATGTTGCTTTGGTGTAGAACATGACTTAAAGAGCCCATATTATGGGTTTTTGAAAATTCCCCTCCATCTAGTGTGTAACACAGCTCTAAGTGAAGTGAAGTATCCAGCTAAGGCTTAAATCTGTAAGAATACAGTGTTTAAAACTGTTGATTCATCTATAAAAGAGTCGAATCATAGTGCTTCAAACGAGTCGCCTTGATACCGACTCATTAGGTGTTTCGCCATGACGTACGAACGAAACAAAGTTTTTCACGTGCACGCGCAAACCCAGGAGATTTCAAACCTGAGGCCCCGCCCTCTGACGCAGTAACCCAGACACACACACACACACACCCACAAACACACGCACACCCACAAACACACGCACACAAACATGCCGGTCGATTGAAGTCACACTGCAGATGGATATATTGAGTCTCTACCCAAAGATGAAACATCAGCATTATAACCAAGCAGTTGGAAACTTCTGGAAGCTACATGCTACAAAGAATACTTCATCTGAGTTTGTTAAAGGAAGGATCAGTAAAGAGTAACTGATGGACGTCAGGATGGGTTTCTTCCTACATTTCTCAAGTGTAAGTACGTGCGGTTAAAGTTGTTGCCTCGTTGACTCTAGCTTGCAAATGTATTTAGTTGTGATTTGTTACTTGTAACCGCGTGTACTGTATCAGGTTAACTGGATATATTATCTTATCGCGTGCAAAGTCACGTTAAAAACGCGACGCGTGCTGTTTGTTTATGGAGCTCCGTGCTAGAGTTCTGCTCCCGCGATTTATTCGGAAATGTATTCCCGCGCCGCAGAAATCTGGCGCGGGGAGAGAGAGAGAGAGAGAGAGAGAGAGAGAGAGAGAGCGAGAGAGAGAGCGAACGAACGAACGAGCTTTGTGTACTTTGTGCTGTGTGTATGTGTTTATACAGACAGCTTGGCTGTCTGGACTGTATACTGNGTGATATTTGGTTGTGTTCTCCGCTCTAGCGGGGACCGGGGCGCGGCGGGCAGAAAACGGAGCGGGTTCTCAGGCTAAAACCTGGCGGGTGCGGGCTGAAGCGGGAGCGTTGTCATCCGGAGGTGTGTGTGTGTTTTTGTGTGTGTGTGGTATGGCGAGTACACGACTGTCTCCTTCGTTCGGTTATCCGTGGCACTATCCACTCGCCATAGTGTGGCAGCTAAAGTCCACGCCTACACTATCGAGCGTGTATGAACTGTGATTACTTTTTAAATTGCTGATTAGCTATTGGCCATTTCCCTCTCTGACTGAAGGCAGTCGACCAATCGCGACAGACTGTCATCGGCCCAATCAGCGCAGATTAGCTTCGCGCTAAGGAGGGGTTTGGGAACAAATGAATCACTGGACGATTCATACGGGAGTCGCTGGGATAATTAGATAAAAATAAATGCAGATTATAAGACCATGAAAGTGTTTTTTGACCTTGCATGCATATTAGACTGTTGTTGGAGACCCTTACAACCAAGATATGACCTTATTTCATGTATAATATGGGCTCTTTAAATCTGTCTTAACATCAGCCTTTAGGCTTGACAGTTAGGTACACTGCTGTTGGTGTCGTCAATCTGGCAACCTGTGCTTGCGATTGTTTTGAAACAAGAGTGCAATACCTAGTTCAACCACTGGGTGTCAAACGTAAACACTGCACCTTTAAGTGGCGGCCCAGAGTTTTCAATTTAACGCATCCCTAAGACTTAAATCATAGTAAAAAGTACTAGTAATTTAATTGTAGCTACTAAAATGCTATTTTTTATTTATATATATATTTATATATATTTTGTGGATATATTATGCAGTTTAATCTATCAGCTTGATTTTAAGCTAAACATACTGCACCTTCAACAGAAATGTGTGTAAAACGATATAAATTTAACAAAACAAATAAAACAATAATTGATTGCAAATAGTTTTTAGTTGTTACTCCGCCCCGTTTAAAGTGTCAATACAGCACACCAGTCAACTCT